TCTCTCTCTCTCTCTCTTTCTCTCTCTCTCTCTCTCTCTCTCTCTCTCTCTCTCTCTATCTCTCTCTCTCTCTGTGTAACATAGAGGGAATCTAGATACGGCTATAGAGTTTCTCTCTATATATAACACAAAGGGAGTCTATTTTCTAGTTTATTCTTTCCTAATACACAGATTTGCACCGACGTGTATATAACGTCATAAGCACGTGATTGCCGTTGCCATGACTACTCACATTATGATGTGCTTCGTCATAACGACCCTCGTGACGTCAGACGCGTCAAGTGACCTGCGGAGGTTACCTTCTTCTTTCGAGTTCACGCGGACGGCGGAAGACGAACCCGGCTTCGGCTTCGGGCGTCCTCGAGACAATGAATTTGATGACGTAACGACAACGACGTTACGATATCCGTCGAGCAACGACCATTATACAACGGATTCACCAATGGCTGGTAAGCTGTGTGGTGAAGGCGACAATAATATATACGATATATATATATATATAGTTTATTTGTTTGTGTTTACGCGTATATACGTGTGCGTGCGAGTGTGTCGGTGTGCGCGCGTGTGCGTTTGCGCGTGTGTATCTGTGTGCGCGCGTGCGCATGTACGTGCACGTGTGTCGGTGTGCGTGTACGTGTACGTGTGCGTGCGCGTGCGTCGGTGTGTGCGCGTGTGCGTTTGCGCGCGTGTGTGCGCATGTGTGCTTCGTGTGCGCGTGCACGTGTGTGCGCCTGTGTGCTTCGTGTGCGCGTGCACGTGTGTGCGTGTGTGTGTCCTGCGTGTGCGCGTGCCCGTGTGTGCGTGTGCGCGTGTGTGTCCTGCGTGTGCGCGTGCCCGTGTGTGCGTGTGCGCGTGTGTGGTCATCCGAATAATCGGTACATACATAACTTCTCCATGAAGTACGAGATTTTCTCGACCTCTCTCGTGCATGCTGGCAGAGGTAACTATAACGGTCTGCCACTCACGCTCCTCGACAGATGTTAACAGCGACGTCAGGTGCAACTCGGACAACATCCGGGTACGCGCGCGCGTACCGAGCGGATTCGCCGGAGAGATCTACGCTGACGGCTTCCAGGACGTGTCGCGCTGCCGCCAGAGGGCGTCTGGTCAGCCTATCCTCTCGCTCACGCTTCCTCTGGGAGAGTGCGGCGTACACGCGATCAGAGATACAGATGTGAGTACTACACGCCGCTCCTCGCCGCTCGCACGCGCCCGACGTGTACACGTGCCAGAACGCGGTGTGGTGTCCGAGGCGTGTGTGTGTGTGTGTGTGTGTGTGTGTGTGTGTGTGTGTGTNGAGAGAGAGAGAGGGAGATAGAGAGAGGGGAAAAAAGAGAGAGAGAGAGAGGCGAGAGAGAGAGAGAGAGGGAGAGAAAGAGAGGGAGCAAGGAAAAGTGAGAAAAGAGAGACATTTCGAGAGAGAGGGAGAGATTGAGTGAGTGAGAGAGAGAGTGAGAAAGAGAGCGCGAGAGAGAGCGAGAGAGAGGGAGAGATAGGGGGGGGGAGCAAGAAGAGAGCTCCTTACTAAGCTGCTATGCCATTACTTTAGACAATTTAATATGTGAATCTTTGGGAGGACAAAAACTTTAGACGCCATGGGGTTGATACGATTCAAATAATGGTTTATTATAGCATATTTGCGTCATGATTTCGTCTGTATACCTGACTCACTTCCAAGGCTTATAGTGTATTCTCAGCTTCTTTTCGCCCCCACACACGATGACTTACAACTGCCATTTGTTTATTGCATATTTTTCGCAGTGTCACGCTGGCAGCAACTACCGAAGAAGGAAACGTGACGTTCAGAGCGACAGCAGCGCCACCGCCGCACTGGAGAAGCTCTCAGTGACGGGCGAGATCCGCGTGCGACCCCAAGCGGAGAAAAATAAACTAGCAGGTGAGTGTGTATTTGCTGCTTTCCTGCTACGACTGCGTCCCCCAATAGACAAATTTTGCATGCAGATCACCGGTGTAACGATTAGAAATGCACATCGATTAATCTAGATTATATTATTAATCTATTATTCTAGGTAAGATTAGATTTAGATTTTTGTTGCGATTTGGACGAGCTATTTTGAGATTCTGTCAGTTGAGCGGTTACATTCTAATAGTAAAAATCTCATTCGACAACAGCAGTAAATGTGTTGCCAAGACTAATACGAACGCGTTTCGTGACGATCTGTAAGCGGAGTGTCATTTGTTCCCTATGATATAGAGCCATCTAAAGCACTGCTAGGCGACGCTAGGGCGACCGACGTCTGCGTGTCGGTGACGGCGTTCTCACTCGCGATGACGTTATTTGTCTGCGTGGCAGCACTGTCGTTCATCATGGCCGCCTGGTCGTGCATTCGACGCGGCCGTCGCGAAAATAAACAGGAAGAAGACGACCGAAAACAATGACGGACCGCGTTCTAATTGCGACTAAGGAGATAAAGATTTCCAACAGTTTATTGATGATTGATTATGCTTGAGAGAGATTAAAATATTATCATGAAAATAGAAAAGAGTTCTCCGAATAGATAGATAGATAGATAGATAGATAGATAGATAGATAGATAGATAGATAGATAGATAGATAGATAGATAGATAGATAGATAGATAGATAGAATTATTGGACGTGTTGGCTTCACAGGCAGTGACAGTTTGGGGGACAGCGGCGGCACCTAGCATCAAGCTGCGCCTACATGAGGGCACCAGCATCTCAAACAAGGCCAAGCAGGCGACCTACGTTGACCTTGGTCAGGACCTCCTCCTCGTCGCCAGCCTTGATGACATCGGTAAGTGTCACGTGCTCATGACGTCACCACCGGTTGACTACCTTCAAATGGCCATGAGTTCGCTGTATATAGTGTGAATAGTCTCTACCTTATTTATACGTAAACACTGAGTATATGTAGCCACTGAGTTCTGGGTGTTCGGGTAGGCTCCTAAATTTAAATTAGAACACCACGTGGTAAATCGTAGCTGTGCACGTGTACTCTTGTCAGGGCTAATAGCGTGCCGATTGCTCCCTCTACAGGGCTGTACACGAACTTCATTCTCTACAATTGCGTGGCGTCTGCGCCCGACAGTCAGTACAGCATGGTCCTCATCGACAACCACGAGTAAGCAATGATGACCTTTAACCTCTAGCAACGATATATATCGTTGTGCTGTTACCACTGTACTGTATTAGTGGGAGGTGGAAGATAATTAGATAGAGACAAAGTGAGAGTGAGCGAGAGAGCAAGAAAGAGAGAACGAGAGAAAGAGACATTGAGATAGGGGAAAAGCAAAAGAGATGAAGAGAGAGAGAGAGAGAGAGAGAGAGAGAGAGAGGGGTGCGCGATAAATAGAGAAGGGAGGGGGGAAGAGTGAGACAAGCCCCGTATAACCAAGCTGTAATCTAAATCTGACCACTTACATGTTAATTTTTATACCAGGTGCGTCAACTCAGACCTGTACCCTGAGCTGATCAAATCGGAGGGAGTTGCCAAGTCTAGAGGAGCTTCAGTGGAGAAATATGTGAAGTTCGCTGCATTCCGTTTCGCCAGTGGTGACCGCGTGCAGTTCCAGTGTGACGTCATTCCGTGTACGGCCGACTACGACTGCGATGATGTGGTATGTGACAGAGCGAGAGAGAGAGAGAGAGAGGAAGCGAGAGAAAGGGGGAGAGAGCGAGAGAGCGAGAGAGCGAGAGAGCGGGGATCTGGTTCATTCTCTACCAACAAATCCATATGTATCCGCTACGTCCGTCCGCCCGTCTAGCCAATCAATCCAACATCCAGTCCGCCCGGCCCATCCGTCCGCTACGTCCGTCCGTCTGTCTGCCCGCCCGCCCGCCCTCGTCCGTCGCGCTCCGACCGTCCGTCCGTCCGTCCGTCCCACCCGTCCCGTTCGTCTTTTCGTCGTCCATCCTCATGCAAAGTCGGTCGTTGCGCGATGTTGAATGAGTAGAGCAGCGAAGCGCGTCGCGCGTATATTCTGCGAACTTGTTGAGCAACGAGAGCGATCTCGGTCAATGTCCCTTAGCTCTGCATGCGCTCGAGTTATCTTACCGGTTGCTGCGGAACACACACACACACACACACACACACACACACACACACACACACACATCACACCCCACACACACACACACACACACACACACACACACACACACACCACAACATGGCTGCGGGTTGCTCGTGTTCTGTCCGGTGTGGTACGACGATATCGCTATCGCTGGGCGCATTCATAGTGCGGTCGGATTTCCGGTCAGACTTGTGACGGGAACGACGCCGATGAGTGTTGGTAAGTAAGCGTATGTTGGGAGAGCAGAAAGGAGGAGGAAGGAGGAGGCACTGAGTAGGCGAGAGTAAGAAGAGTGCATGCGTGCGTGCGCGCGGTTGTGAGAGAAGAGAGAGAGAGAGAGAGAGAGAGAGAAAGTGAAGAGAGGAGGAGAACACACACACCACATGTAGCACAGCACGACGCACACAGACCACACACTAACACACATCACGCGCGCACACACAGGCGCACACATACGCACTGCACAGCACACTCAGCACCCACACACGCATATTATATACATACATGTATATATTGT